AAAATAGAAGGGAAGTATATACATGTGCATATATTTGCATATATATGCACTTAAATTATATACATTGTATAAATATAAAGCCTTAATAAAACATAATTTAAAAATTACTGCATTTATTTATGTTTGTGCATGTGTGGGGTGTGTGTGTATTTGTGTGTGTGTGTGTGTGTGTGTGTGTGTGTGTGTGTGTGCATGTGTGTGTGTTTGTGATGAGTGGAAGTCAGAGGATAGCTTGTAGGAGCCTGTTCTCTCCTTCCACTCAGGTCACCAAGGTTGGAGGCCGACATCTTTACTCGCTGAGCCATCTCACCAGCTCAAGAAGCATAATTATTTACAAGAAGAGTGTTTAGCAAAAGGGTTTATCTTGGCATTCATAAGAAGGTCTAAGAAAAAGACAGAGAAATTAATGATTCAAAGACTTATAACTTAATGAGCCAGGCAGGTCCCTACAATTAGACTATGTTTAAGAGAGGTCACATAAGTAAATCCTAAGAAATGCTGCTAGACTTGAGGATTCTATTGTCATGTGTCTAGAGTGGAAAATGATGGAATGGAAAAGAATTGTATTTAAGAGCAGCAACAGAAGCCTGATTTGTGCCAATGAAAGTCTTGGTTTTCATCACCTCCTACGTATTCTATTACAACGTACAATTTGTCATCTCATTCCATATGGTGTTGAATGGCCACAGATAAAACAAAATAGTTGCCAGAATCAAATTCCTTGTTCCAAGAAAAACACATATACATGGTAGTAAACCTGTTAGAAAAGATTGGTATAGCTATGTTCACACACGTGTATTAAATTTTCTGCAGTCTTTAAATAATGATTTAAATACCATGGATTTCTTTTAGGTATTTTAAGTAGATGATTATCAGAAAAATAAAAATCATCAACAAAACTTCACTTGAATTCAAAATTCTATGAGGAAGGAAATAAGTTTGTGTCTGGTGCAGAATGGAACCTAAATCTTTTTCAGGGTGGAGAAATATTCTACCTCTGAGCTATATCCCCAGCCCTGAGATATAATTTTAAAGAGGGATTATGATGTATTTTTGTGCTAGAAGTGAAGGTAGAAATAATTAATATAGCTGTATTAATTATAAACACAGCAAAAATACTTAGAAAAGGGAATCCTTTATGTTTTCAAACCTCTCAAAGAACTCAAATGAGACAAGAGATATATTGAGTGGTCTTCAGCTTTTCACTTACTGCTTCCAGCATCTGAATGTTACAAGTTTCAGAATATGCAGTAAAATCCTTTTGATGTAGAGTTCTCTATAAATAGAATAAATTTGTTAACTTGCTCAAAGAACTTTCATTGATGCTGTGCACTGTTTCTGACGTGATTGTAATCAACAGAAAGTAAATCCGAGGTCTGTTCCCTTATGGGACTTGGGATCTACTGGAGGCATTTAATCAATAAACAGATTTTTAAAAAGAAGTAATGCAAGAAGTTGAAGATCATTTTCCAGAGTATTTGGGGAATCCCTACTCTAAGGTGAGAGAGAAAGACATCTTTAGACTGGTCCAGTAAAAGTAAAGGAAGCAGCATTAAAAGAAGAAAAAGATACAAAGTCTTTAAGGCTATCTATAATTTAGTATATACAAAGAATTAGTAATGACAAAAACAGTATTTACTAAGAAGTTAGTACACATTAGATACTTTATTGTAATCCCAAAGGGATGTATATGTCAGTATGATACCATGTCACTTATGAGGAAACAGGAAACAGGATTTTAAGTAATATTTTCAATCTCCTATGTATACGGAGCCACATGACCCAAACTGGGATGATATGTGTTTGTAGAATCCTTCCAATCACCAGACCATGGCATGTCGTGCCGCTGGCTATGTCCATATGTTTAACGTACAAAAATCTCCCTTGACCTTGAAACACAGTTTAAAAATCTTAATTACTTTTAAAAAGTGTTTTATATAATGTGATTGAACTGGGGAATCATGTAAAAGTAGTTTTTTTTTAGGTATTTATTCTTTGAAAGAATATCAGAGGGAATCTCCATTGGTTTGGGAACTATATCTCAGAAAATGGTCCAGCAGGATTAACCTGTGTGAAATAAATCACAGTATACCCCAGTGTATCCACACTGACCTATTTAAGATTGTGATTGGTCTTGAGATAACTTTTGTTGTGAAATGTTTATTTTTTATTTTTTAATTTATTTTATTTTATTGTCTCTGTAGCCCCAGCTGTCCCGGAATCAGGCTGGCCTAGATCTCACAGAGATCCACCTGCCTCTGCCTCCCTGGTGCTGGGATTAGAAATGTTTCTTTTTCAAATTTCTATTTAGGTGATCTCTAGCCATGTTTAGTAAAGTCTGATTATAGAGTAAACTAATTCAGTTTATACACAAAAACTGACATTGTCAGGCTGTAACAAGATTATCAGACTAATGTAGTCTATCTTGGAGTAATGAAGATTTCAAGTTGGCTAATAATCCTATTTGAGCCTTAACTAGTGTTAAAACTGTAGAATTTAGAAAAGAAATATAACTGAAGAGATTAATGGTGGTCTTTGGAAATCTGGTATACAGATAAGGGAGTGAGTCAGAGATTTTTTGATTCATAAATTAGTCCTTTTTGATTCTGATTTACTAGTTAAACGATTATTCTATGTGACATTCATTTTAGTAAAACAAGGAAGTAAATTTATATACTGGTGCTCAGGTTGATGCTCATAACTGGATAAAAGGAGATATATGAAAGTGAACACAAAGGTTTCTGTCAGAAATTCTAGATGAAAAAGTTAAAACCAGGACTGGAGAGATGGCTCAGCAGTTAAGAACACCGGCTGCATACGACCCGCGTTCAATTCCCAGCACCTAGATGGTAGCTTACAACTGTCCTTAACTCAAGTTCTAGGGGATCAGGCTCCCTCTTATGGCCTCCAAGGGCATGGCACACAAGGGTTCTTTTATATCCATGCAGGCAAAACACTCATACACACAAATTAATAATAAAATTAAACATAGAAATTAAAGCCGCAAACTCAATATTTATATACTGACACACTGAGAAAGGAGGAAGCCATGCTCTTTATCTGCACATTTGGTGGTGGAGATTCTGGCTGTCTCCACTTCCTTTGTTAGCAAGGAAGCTATGAAAGGTATAGGTACCTTCTCAACTATTCATTTAGAGTCCTTAGAGTACAAAGAGATATACAGCAGGATCATAAGGTAGTTCTCTTGTCAGTGATTGGAGGAACCACCATACTGATTTCCATAGTGGCTGCACTAGCTTACATCCCAATGAACAAGTGTTCATATTCCCTCACATCATTGTATTTGCTTGCCTTTGTTTTCTTCATCATGGCCGTTATGACTGGCCTCACACTGATTCAGAAAGATAAGAAAATAAGGGGATCCTTCTCCTTGAAATCCTCCAGATTTGTTCCATTAGAAACAGGCTCCTATTTCAAGAAGTTCCTTCAAGAAGTGAATGTAGAGACCTTATTGGGTTAGCTGTATCAGTCTAACTGAGTAGTTAAGAAACTTGCATGTGTCGAGTACAAGGTTACATTGCTTTCTTGAGATGCTCCTTCTCATTTTTAATAAACATAACATTTGCTCTCTTCATTTCCCACCATAATGGGAAGATGATAGTTAACAGGTGGTTTTGTTTTGTTTTAAGGCAAGCTCTTTCTGCGTGGCACAAGATTGCCTCAAACTTAGGTTTCCTGCCTCAACTCCTAAGTGCTGATATGACAAGTGTGCCCCAATATCCAAATAATACTTTTTTAGAAAAATACTGTGTATCATAACATGCACACATATTTACACATCTTCAGATATGTGTGACTGAGACAAGAGCCAGATGGAGAAGTAAAATTAGGATGATAGAATGAGATATCCCTCTTTTAATTTGACTGAGTTGCTACTCCAGATTACCATGGACTGGGGCACTTTAAAAACATGTTGATTTATCACAGCTGTGGGCACTGAGGAGCATAACATGAGGTGCTGACTGGTGTGATGCATGCTGAGGTCACTCCTTGCAGTTCATAGATAGCACTGGTGGAGGGGCTCTGTTGTTAGGGCACTGATCCCATCCATAAAGGACTCTGCCTCCATGGCATAATCAGCATCTCAGAGCTCCACCTTCTGATTCCATTACCTTGGCACTTAGGATTGCCACAAACTAAGTCTGGAGTGACATGAGCATTGTAGGCCACTGTAAGCTCTTACACGCATAGCTGTTCTCTCATCTATGAGGATGCTTAAAGACAAATCTAAGTATTACAATAACTTATAGAACTTCAACTATTGCTTACATTTGATTAAACTTTTATTTTATGTGTCATCTATTGTAGGAAGAGTAAATGTGTAAATGAATTAAATGAAGAAGTTAACCCTTCTTATTATTTGGTGTGTCAATAGGTTAAGAAAACATGTTTAGGAAAGTTAAGAAGCTACTTTAACATCAATTTTAAGCACACACATGCATATCCATATGAATGGACACACACAAAAATCAATTTTAAGGGAAGGCAGGATGTATTTGTAATAAGGGATCATTTAATGAGAACATCATTTTTCTCAAAACTTGCCTACTGTGTTAGTCACTTTTCTGTTGCTATGATAGAAACACTGACCCAAAGCAACTTATAGAAGGAAGAATTTATTTGAGCTTACAGTTCCAGGGGAATTACTCTCTGTCATGGTAGGGAGGTATGATGGCTGGAGGTGGCTGGAGCAGGAGCAGCAGAAGCTACATTCTCACATCATCAAGCAGGCACAAGAAGCAAAAGAGCAACTGGAGATCTGGCAAAGCTTAAGAACTCTCTAATCCCACCCCCAGTAATGTGCTTCCTACATCATGGCCACACCTTCTAAGACCTCCCAAAACAGCGCCACCACCTGGGGACAAAATGTCCAAATACTTGGAGCCTATGGGGGACATTTTCATTCAAATCACCACACCTACACATCAGCGCTTGACATACAGAATACTCACAATCTTTCTCCTCTAATTTCTGAACAGAAAGAACGTGAAAGGGGTTCTAATTTGGCCTTTATGTTCCGACTACCTTTTGCTGCAGGAAGAGTGTTTAGCATCAGTATGTTGGACACACTTTTATATCAGGTATGCGGTATTTCCTTTTTCTTTTCAAAAATGGTTGTTTTATATTGGGTTTGGATTTTAAGTAAAAACTATTTTGAGCTGTTCACTTAAAATATGTGTGTGTATATATAACACTGATAATAAAAGAAAGGGACAAGATATGAGGGGGTGAGAAGGGACATGGGAGCAGTTGCAAGATGAAAGACAGTTGTAAAAATGATGCAAATTTTCATCATAAAATTCTCAAAATAATAATAATAATTAATAGCATAAAAAATTGGCTCAAAGCAACTTTTTTTTTCATCTCTTTAATCACATAAATGATGGTATGAAACATTTTATATGAAAATATTATTTAAAATATAATATGAGCTATAGCAAACCTGATGACCTCAGTTCAATCCTTGATCTGTGGTGGAAGGAGAACTGACACTCAGTAGTTGTCCTCTGAGCCACACTCGCACTCTGAGAAACATGTACACTTACTCTTTCTCTCTCTCTCTCTATCTCTCTCTCTATCTCTCATTCTCTCTTGCTCACTGTCTTACTTTCACTGTCTTTCTCTCTTGTTCTCTACCTTTTTTCTCTCTCTTTCATACAAACACAATAATGAGAAATAACCTATGCAAATTATTTTAGGTATTTACAGGCACTAGGTTTTGTGTAATTTATGAATACGTTTTCTTATAACTCTAAGCATACTACTGGATTTTTTATTTGGAAAAAAATTACTGACTTGAAAATAGAAAATTATTATCAGTATTCTAAACTGAAGACAGTTTAAGTGTCTGATAATTTATTCCACTCTAGAGACCACACACATACACACACACATACACACACACACACACACACACACGAGAGAGAGAGAGAGAGAGAGACCTTTTCACAACAATGCAGAGTCATTTCACCATTTCATTTCATTTAACACTGCCATTTCTCCAGTTCTCCGAGCTCCATAGAAATGGTGTTCCACAAAAATGTATCATAGATTTTTGTTTTTTTTTCTGCCAGCAATTACATAACAATAATATTTCCTGTTCTCTGATTAGTCATACATAACAATCTAGAAATATTTTCATTTAAAGAAAAAGCATTTTCATAGGATTTCATTTTATATTATTAATCTCAAATTAAGTGCCTAAGCATTTTATTGTCCACATTCATTTTGATTATATAGCTCTGTGCACGTTTCTGCAAATGTTTGACTGAATAAACTAATGCTAAGATAGAGCTCTTCTAATGGTCTCTGGGCTAACTGCCCATGTGGATGCTGTAGCAATGTCAGAAACCATCTGTTCATGGACAATGAGAACCACAGCAAACAGCAAAGGAGAATCAATGCTGTTCTTTGCCATAATGCTTCCAGACCATTTGTTTGGGTAACCCAACAGGCAAAGCCCCAACCACAAATGGGCACATACCTATAATCACTTGAAAAAAAGATGGCAAGGGAAGGCTTTTTTCAAGATACTGCTTGAAAAGCAATGTTGAAATTGAGATTTTGTATCAATAGCAAAGAAATGCTTGGGTGCTAATATGAGCCAGTGGTCTCAGAATACTATTTTCATGTGATAGAACTTAAAAGAACTAATACGTAAATTAATACAGAAGGAAAACAAGCCAGAAGTTTTATGGTATCAGAAGACATACAGAAGTTAGTCATTTCTAAAGCTATTACAGAAAGGCTGAGTTAAAATATGGCCTTGAAAGTTTGGAATTAGAGCTGGCAAGTTAGTTTATCAGATAAGGCACTAGACTCCAGACCAGGGACCCAGATGGTGGAAAGGGAAGAATCAACTCCCAAAAGTTGTCTTCTGACTTCAACATATACTCTGTGACACTCATACACTGCCCTAAATAGATAGAAAGATAGATGATAGATAGATAGATCGATAGATAGATAGAGATAAGTTTTTTAAGTTTAGAATTATACTAGTGATATTATTGCATTTCATTTTCAATCCAATACACAATGCTTGTGTGTTTATGTGTATATGTATAACTGATGTAAACATCTCACAATATAACACGTTTATTTGCTGGATTAATTTCTTTTTAAAAATATATTTTATTTATTATTTAATTTTATGTGTATGAGTGTATTACCTGCATGTATGTAGGCACACCTGTGTTGTGCAATGCTCATAAAGGTCAGGAGAGGGCATTGGATCCCCTGCAACTGTAGTTATGTTTGACCACTGAGCCATTTTCCAGCCCCTAGATTAATTTCTATCTTTGTAAATTGTATTCTATTCTATTTCACCTAAAGATTTGATAAATACAGTTTAAAACCTTATTTTATGATTGTTTAAAAAGCATTTAGCTAGAGGACTTCAGAGTTAGCAAATCTAGAAATAAGCTTCCTTCTGCTGAGCTTCCGTTTGTTGTTAAAGACCTCAACTGTTAGGAATGTTTATTTTTCCTTTTGTTAATGCTAGTGATTGAACCCCAGAGCCTTGTGTATGCTAGGTAAGCACTCCACAGCTAAGCTGTATCTCCAGTCCTAAGAATAACTTTCAGTTATGCTTTTTATAATGTTTCACTAACACTGTGGTTTATTTCCTATGAATAGGTAATATTCTCTGTCATTTTAGGCAAATATGATGATTCATTTTTAAAAGGCTTCATTTTAGCATGAAATTGTTTGAGAAAAAATATGTGTAATAAGAAATTATAATAGATTTTAGAAAATGTATCTTTATTTTGCTATTAGGGAGCTCAAACCTAGAGGAAAAGATTAATTGAAATATTTTATGACAAATGCATTTTAAAGTTCATGATATATACTATTTTATTTGTTTATAATTTTTTTGTTTTCAAAACATTGAAAATGTTGGTATCCTGCTTAATTGGTCAATATAAGCCTACATATTATTTTTAAATAATAATTATTACCTATATTTCCTTAAGACTAGCCTAACTGTAAATGCTTATTAGATGTTGAGAATGTATCTTTTTATTTCATTTGGTGGAGCCTTCCTGATGTGGTAGGAGTAACCTTTCAGAAGTATTTATGTGTTCACACTCCTCTATTCTACATCTCTGGTGTACATAATACATACATATTGTGCTTATATTGCAGTCATTTGTGAAAGATTATATGATTTCTATCACCAGACTTCTCTTGGGGCTGGACACCATACCAGGATCGGGGTTTCTTTGTTCTGTAAGTTAAAAGTGTCTGGATTAGAAGAGTGATAGAATGTTTGGAATTCTTTCATTTATCATGAACTGTAGCTAACTTCTATAAATATGTTTTCTCCTAATGTGTATGCAAAAAAGTTATATAAAGGGTTTTTAAACTGGATAAATTTTTAGGAGGTGTATTTTCATTAGTAATCATGGCAAATAATCATTCTATAGAAAATTCAGAATAAGTTCTTACTGTTAATGTTGTTTTGGCTATCCGTTCGGCCTTGGTATATCCAGACCTTGTTGCCATACTGGTCATGACCACAATGACTGTGGAGTTCAACCTCATTGTTTCTTTGCTGTTTCTCTGAGATAGGGGTCTCATATTACTCAGGTTGACATTACATTCCTGGGCTCAAGGAATCCTCTCACTTCAGCCTCCAACTTATTTGCCACCAAGCCTAGATCAAGCCTGCTGTTTTATTTTTATTTTATTTTTAAATTTATTTTTATTTTATGTGTATGAGTGTGTTGCCTACATGTATGTGAGTACATCACATGTGTGCAGTGTCTGTGGAGGCCTGAAGAGGATGTCAGATTCCCAGGATGTGGGGTTACAGGCAGTTGTTAGCCATCATTTGTGTGCTGGGAACTGAACCTGGCTCCTCTGCATGGCAGCCAGGGTTCTTAGCTGCTGAGCCATCTTCCCAGCTCCAAAACTGCTGTATTAAAAAAGACGATACTTGGTTAAATACACTAATTTACTAACAGTTTAGCTTTACAAACAGCAAAGAGGGACCAGAATTCTAGTTTCTTGTGAGGATCCCTTTGCTCATTCTATTACACATGTAAGTCAATACAAATATTAGTGAAACATTGGGACAAGTGGGATTTGCCTTTTGGTATTGGAGTATGTTTCACACTTCACGTTTTTAGCTTTAGAAAACTCTGTCCACTAAATGTCAGTGTCAGCTTCAGTCATTACACCATTTAAAAAGTCTCCCTATGGTTTACTAGGTCTCCTAGGTAATTTTCAAGGTTGCATTTTACACTTTTATTGGATCAATATAATGTCATATTGCCCCAGAGTGAGTGCTGAATTTCTGAAGTTTTGATGATCTCCTTAGATAAGTTGAGATGAAATATAATAAGTAAGCCAAATCCATGAACAAGCATTATGAAATTCTGCTTTAAGATTTCAAAATATTGGGCTGGAGGGATGGTGTAGCTGTTAAAGGCTAAGGCTAACAATCAAAACATTAAAGATTTCAGAATATTAATTGATTCTGTCTTTAAGAAGTTAGAAAAATAGCCACTGGGATCCTATGTCTTAGCTGTTTATTGTATAAATAATTCATATGTATTATAGATGAAAATCACTGAGGATGACTTGTGGATCAGAACGTATGCCAGACTCTATCAGAAGCTGTGTTCTTCTACTGGAGATGTCCCCATTGGAATCTATAGGACGGAGTCTCAGAAACTTACTACATCTGAGGTTTGAAACTATCAAAGTATTCTTACCCTGAGGATTTTCTGATGAATATAGTCATTCACAAATTTGAAAATGCATTTTATTGAAAAACGCCATAGAAAATGAAAAAGAATCTTTTCTAAATACATAAGGTCATGTTCAGTAGCTAAAATCTTCTTAACTGTTTCAGGGAAACTATGCCCAAATTTGACAAAATTGGTTGGGGCTATTCTAGTTTGTGGATATTGGGTTCCAGGTAGCATTTTTAGATCTAGATTAGCCCCTTTTAGAACATTATCAAGAATCAGATCTGCTTTAAGCAATCTTGAGGTTATGAAACATAAAAAATGTTCCCAAACTAACTTAGACTTCTAATATATTCTCCAATGGCATGTTATAGCTTTTGGAAGAAAACAAAGCAAAAGAAGTCATTAAGTATTAAAATTTATCTTCCACATCAAAGATCACTCTAAAGCACAAAGAAAAATCTAGGCATAATGCCTGAATTTCCATAAAAAAGATCTCAGTAATTTTATCATGTATTAGAATCTATTAATATGGAAGGAAAGTTTTTAGTAACCATGTGCAAGTGAAAACATGTTGATATTTTGATTTTATCACACCATGCGTTCCACACAGCCTCTTTGTTCCAATTTTTATATTCTGAGGAAAACCCAACACTTTCAACTTAATATACTATTCTACCAATATATATAGTACTTAATATAAAATATGATTTATATACTGGAACATTTTTATCAAATAATATATAATACTTAATATAAAATATGATTTATATACTGGAACTTTTTAATCAAATAATATTAATTATCAAATTAATATTTCATGTTTCATAAAATAGAGCTTTTTTGGAAGCATACAATTGTAGGATAGATTTTTGTTGTCTTATCAATTTCTAAATTTACATTTTCATAGATGGATATTGTGGAAATCAGAAAATCATTCTACTTTTGTGGGATATTTTGATGATTTCATTGCATTTTCTGAGATAATACATCTTTATTTTATGAGAAAATAAATCTTGGTTATTTCTACAGCTGAATTTAGGCTTTTCTTTGACATAGTCTCTTTGGGTCACCTCACAAAGTACAATCTCAAATCAGAGATAATCAACAGTGATGAACTGGAGAGACATTAAAACATTGTTAAAATACATGATGTATTTTGCAAATATGCCTAAAACTTTTAGAATATTGGATCCAAATGTTATTTGATTACAGAGTAAAAGAAGAAAAGCACTTTTGTATTTAAGTAAGTGAATATTTTCTTACCCCAGGGTGCATATAGTAACATGCCATACATTTAGTGACTTATAAAAAGATGGAAATTTGAGGGGCTGGCGAGGTGGCTCAGCAGTAAAGAGTAAATACTGTTCTTCTGGAAGAGAACATACTCACATGCAAATACCCACACATAGACACACAGGCATACATATAATTAAAAAAATAGTAAAAGTAAACCTTTAAAATGGAAATTTGATTTTGCCATTTGTAGGAACTGGGAAGTTAGGAGATGGGGCAGATTAGCTGTATGGGAAGGAACTATTTTGTGATTCTTGGCCATTTCAGTAATGTGCCTTCTCATAGCACAAAGAGCAAGGCATTCTGGGGTCTTTGGAACCTTCTTGACCAAGATACCTTCCAAGAGGCCCACATCCAAATACTGTGGTACTATGTATTATAATTGTATATATGATTTCTGTGGGGGGCGATAAACATTCAGTCTGGTCAAATATATTTTATTTGATCATTTTAATTACAAAGTGAATTGCCATATAGAATTGTGTGGAAATCTTATCTTTATATTAGCTTTGTGAATTTAAATGCAGTAATTGTTTTCTTTGGTTATGTCATCCATATTAATTAATATCAATCACTTTGTTTTATTAAAATATGTTGTGTGTAGCCTATAATTTATAGAAACAGAGAAACTATAACTGAATATCTCTATTGTCTCAAGGAGTAGTTAACTAGATTTTGGCCAACTATATCCATCAACAGTAAAGACAGATTCTATTGAATGGCTTTTATATCTCCAAACCACATATATATTTACACACACATATACATACATACATGCACACATACATACATACATATGTTATTTTCAGGATAAAAGGCAACTGAATTAAAATTGTTACTTAATATTTCCTGTTTTCCCATATTGGACATGATTTATCATTTGACACTTATCTTTTATTTAAACATTTATGTTTTAGTTATTTTAGAAAAAATGAACCTAAAAATGATACAGGTATGACCATCAAACATTTTCCAACAAAGAATATTATAGGTGAAAAAATAATGTTAATCTATATACAACATACACTACTACAGCGTGTATGAATACTCCTTCCAAATATAGTAATTGTAGTCCAATACATGAAGTTCAAAAATAAGACACCAGATTTCAGGAGGTAGAAGTTCTGGAAATCTATAGTTAATTAATATATCTCAATTATTAAATATTAGACAATTATCAAAATGTTCAGAAAGTTATTCACAAGTGGTTTTATAAGCAAGTATCAAGCAAGAAAATTACCAACATCAGTAACATGACTTCATTTCCTACAAGGAAAAGTATTGGCATCAAATAAATAGTAGGTCATATCCTGTATGTCTACATAGATTATTCTTAATTACAACATTCTTGAATTTCGGTCCAAACATAATTATGCTGAATTTTTGAGATGATCAGAGAAACTGAAGATAGTGGAGTATTTGAAAAGAAACTTTTCCTTAAATTTGTTTTTGTTTTTGTTTAAACTTTTATGTGTATGAGTGTTATTCCTGCAGAAGAGGGCCTTGGCTCTCCTGGAACTGGAGTTTTGGATGGTCATTAACTGTCATTTGAGTGTAGGTCCTCAGCAAAAGCAGTCAGTGCTCTTAACTGCTGAGACATTTCTCTAGTCTCTTGAAGAGAAGCCTAGCACACTGTCACTGCCAACTCCCCAAACCTCAATGAAAGATCAATGGAGAGCTAGGCGTGGTGGCACATTCTGTAATCCCAGCACTCAGGAGGTAGAGGCAGGAGGAACATGAGCTTGAAGCCATCTGTGCTACACAGTGAGATCTTGTTTAAAATAGAAAAGAAGGGACAGATTGAGGGAAAGAGGAAAATCAACAGGTAAAAGTAAAAACTGAAGGAAAAAAGGAAGAACTAAGCAATGAGAAACAGAGGGAAAGACTAACGGATCCAGATAAGAGTCAAAACGCAGATGTAAAACTGAAACTGGGAGAGATTATGGTAAGTGCTTCTGTTTTTCAAAACAAACCACAATTTCCTTCTGTGTACTCTGTAATTCATAGTCAGTATGACAAACAACAGATTTATTGGCATAAAGTAGGGACATTAGAGCCATTTGTTGATTATTTCTTCAGTTCATAGTTTTAGGGGTCAAATTTTAGCCTATTCTATTTTGAATGTTTATTAAACCTGAAACCTATATGAAGAGGAGACTCTGCTTCCTTGCACTATAAGTGCAGGGCGAGTTTTCCTACTCCTCATGTTCTGGTCTGTCTTCAGTATTTTGGCATGTTCAGTGTACAGAGAAATACAAGTACCTTAAGTTATATCACTGTGGGGAAGCTCCTTTTTGAAAGCAATAATAATGATAAAAAATTTTTCATAATCGAAGTCTATAAAAGTTACAAAATACCAAGGACATGATTTCATCATGTTTTGTTCTCGTGAACTAGGAAAGTTCAGATACATGAATAAAATGGTGTGTACAAAACACACAGAAAATCAGGCTAGGAAAGCAGGTGCAATAAAACCTCTCCCATCACACCCGGTCTTGTGTCAGCATGCCAAAGGAACTTCTAGTTCTGCTGTGTGCTTCTGTTTAAGGACATTTTTATGGACAGCAGGAGTCTTCTTGCTCCAGCAAGCTGACAGAGAAAGGAAGGTCTTATATTCCTTAGGGGACAAAGGAGAACCACATTTTCCTTCACAGTTATTTACTCACAATTCTAAAATCTAATAAGGCCCCCAAACTTGTTTGGTGGCAAAACCTTATCTAAAAAGGTATGCATTTATTTTTATTATTTCACTTGTATAGAGTACTTAGATTTTTTACTTCAGGAATTTAAATGTTTTATTATAAGCTACAGGAATATTAATGTTTTATCATAAAATGAAGTTCACGTGGTATACTGTCATATTTCCAAAAGCTAAAAAGAGAGCAGAATTAAAAAACATTGATTCATGCAAATGTGGGGTAAGAAAAGTTGACCTTTAACTTGAATTTTCTGGTTTACTGAAAATCTCATTTGCTGAAAGTCTACTATAACCAACAAATTTTTTCTAGAAAAGTGGAAGAATTTATTTTACAGATATTGAAGTATCAGTAATATTTGTAGTATACACAATTTGCAGAATATATTATCCTGACTCACAGTTATTACCCTCATCAAAGTAGCTTTCAGAATTGTGCATGTCAAATAATTAATCACTATGATGATTACTTAATGATTAGCTATTAAAGTAGAAAAAACAATTTAAATGTATTATTAAAATAAATGTTTGCCTTTTACAAAATAAAATACTTATAATTATGTAAGTATTAGGACAAAATATTTTAAAATCTAGCTATCTGTTCTATTTGTTTATTATTTCCTTTTTATGTATTTGTTAATGCAGTACTGAGGACTGAATCCAGGGTCTACTGTTTGGTTAGGCAAGCACTTTGCCACAGGGAAGCATCACCAACCCCGCTACCTGCACCTCTATCTGCTGCTGTTAGTCACTCCAACATTTATTCCCTGTGACTAAATGTTATGAATTCATGATGAATTGTATCTAGGAGCCCATAATTGAATTTTTATAATTTCACTTCTTATTCTTGCTGTAATAGATAATGCTACATAAGGAGTTTGACTAACTTATAGAATATTATAATTTAACATTTACCACTTTCTATTTCAAACTGAATGTAGCATTATTCTTTAGAACTACACAGTAAGATAGGATTTTTTAAAAATAAAGGTTAAATGCATAACTGCTATATATGATTGAAAAGATCAATTTTTAGTCCCTATAACCAATGTGAAAGCTCAGAATAATTCTTTTACATATTTTATATATTTTTACTTTATGTGTATGAGTGTTTTGCCTGCATGTCTGTAAGTGCAGAGCAGCCAGTGCTCTTAACTGCTGAGCCTTCTCTCAAGCTCCCATCTCCCACTTTTTAAAAGTATGTTTCTTTCAACTTGTATGTAAGGGGAAAAGGCAAATGTCCAAAACTAAAAGCACTGGTTTATGTATTAATACCAATAATGTATATTTAAGGTAAATGATTACATTATTCTCTTAGTCACAGAGTAGCTTCGTAAGTTGCTATTAGTTATTTTAGATTCTCCTACTCAGGATATTTTTCAATCATACATAGGCAACTTTAGCAACATAAAAATAATCTGAGGGTAAATCTCGGTAAACACTGAATTATAGATTGTACTTCATCAAACTTTGATCAAAAGCCCGAAAACAAGTAGAAACAGTAAATTATACGTGCTGTGTGGATATGGCATATTTTCTCCTTGTTGTTGACTGTTTCCTGTATGTATTGTTGAGTCATTGTCTAAACTACATTTTGTGTATTTCTTTTTCCATCCCCTTGTGTCAGTCTCGAGAAATAGCATCGCAAGTAAGTACCTTCTGTTTGTCTTCCTTCTTCAAGAGGTGTTTGAGCTCAGAACTGTAAAGGAAATGAATATTAAATTCAAAATTCAGTGTCAATTTAAATATATATCATACTCAAAGGCTTATATATCGTTTTTTCAAGTTAGCATGTTTGTATTAACCCACAAAGGATTGCAAATTAATGTTATCATTTGTCTCTAGATAGTGATTCTTAATCTGTTATGAGAGTTTTAGATTTTCAACATATCAGTTACATAACACTGAGAAGCTGATGAATATAACATATGTAACAATCTAAAACTTCAGTTATTTTGTGTTGTTTCTTAAATTCATAGTCTATACTGTGAAAATGGTGCAACATAATGAATAGATGTCCACTGTTTAAATTTTAAGGCTAATCAAGCTGAATTTAAGATATGAATTGATACTTTGGAAAGATATTAAGATTTTTAAAAACATGCTAATAAAACTAACCATTATTTCTGATATTTGGCATTTTAATGATTAAATCCTCATCATGTGTTTATGTTTTAATACTATGGGCTATTAAAGTTTATAATGTAAAATATTTCTGAAGGTTATGGTTTTTAGAAAAATCTGAAAGCTTTTGCTTTTTCAAAGCTGTAGAGGTTAAGCAAATCCCTAGCTGGTGTGCTAGATGACTTGGATCTTGCTCTCATGGTGTTCATGGGAAGAAGCTACAGAGTCTAGACTGACAGATTTCAGGAGCTATTTTATTTGATAGTGTGCATAAAAATATATGAAAGATACTCTTCCCAAATCTCCTCCTTGTGTATTAGATCCCAAGAACCCATGCATGTTAAAGGTGGGAAGTTCATACCTTTGGCTAACATCTACCAATTTTCCCATTTCGTATCCATGCTAATATTTCTACACCTCATTTTTAATATGCTTAACATTTTTCAGAGTAACAAAACATGAGTGAACTTGGATATTTCTGCTAGAGTAAAGTAATCCTGATACAAAAAAAAAACCAATAATACTACTGAGACTAAGACAAATTAAGTCAAACAGGATCAAAACCTTAGGATGTGCCAAACCTGGATTTAGAATCAATTACCATCCAAGACCATAGTGTCTGTATTCTATCACTTTATTTCACTGTCCTGGGTAACTACCCCCTTTTTCCACCATCTGTTTTAAGAACAGCAAATACTTTGAAGATCAGTATGAGAAATGGCATAAACAAGGTATTTGTTTATTAAAAGTTTATATTTTTCTGCCCTTTCCTGCATAGAATAGCCATTGCTTCTTGTGGTTTCAACAATTTAATGTTTGCTGCTGGAAATCCTTTTTGATTTAAGGTTATTTTCTAGTTCTTTAAATGGGAAGCAAGCTCATGGTCATCCTGTGCAAGTTCCCATCTGTCTTTTCATCCTCTAGAAGCCCAGTGATGAGCAGCATGAGACACCAGGTGTGCTCACTGGTGCGCAGAGACTGCCTCAGCAAGCAAAGGATGTCCTAGAAAGCTGATGTGAAGTCTCCAGGCTTCCTCTTAGATTACTCCCTTTCTGTGAATTTAAAATGTCAATATCTTTTTCTCATTTGTCTGTACTGTGCTGCCAGATTAATTGACATTCCTTTGGTTTATTTCAGGATGATTCCTTAGTGCATATTAGACACCTCCCATTTCAAGTCAGATTTTTCTCAGTGTCTTTAGCTATTGTACACTCCAGCCTTTCTTTGTTAGCATTTCTGTCCCTGTTCCCAGAATCAGTCATCAGTCCAGTTATTCTGCTTAATCTGTAAGATAGACGGGGTTAAAATCTTGGGTCCCCTTTCACTGTGTGCAAACTCAGTGTGAGTCAGAGTGAAGAGGAAATAGGGAACATAGTATCACTTCACGGGCTAAGAAAAAGAAATATGCAATTTGTTCAGAGTAAATGATGTATTATTCTGTGACAAAGTACATACAGTATCATAGATCTCATTTCCTTGTTTTGGCTAGTGAATTATTTTTGAGTGTATAACACTGCTTTAGAGAATATATTGGTCAATTTATAACATAGTTTATAAAAGTCAATATTCCTGTGTTTTGGAAAAATGACTTATATAGTCAAACAGATATGTGCCTGACTCTTTAATTCATACTTATTCACATTCTCTCTCTCTCTTTCTCTCTCTCTCTCTCTCTCTCTCTCACACACACACACACACACACACACATACACACACACACCCTTAGATTCACACACTCTGTGACTCTTAGCTCATCTATAGTTTTCTTCTTGCTTGATATATTATAAAACTTTTATTCTGCAATGATTTTCTTTCCTTTCTTTATGATGATTTATCTACCATTTTCCAGCTCTTCTGATTTTTAATCACATTCATTTCCGGTGACAGGAAAACCTTTCTTGCTTTCATATATACTTGTTTTAACTTAATAAGAATCTCATTGGCACTCTTATTAACAACAGACATTTAAAAGCATCTAATCTTTTTGACTAAATGTTACCACACTCTGTTAGTTATTTTTCTGTTGCTGTGATAAAACACCATCGTCAAGGCAACTTATAGAAGGAGGAGTTCATTGGGTTTTAGTTTACAGAGGGATGAGATTCCATCATGGCAGGAGACAGGTTAAGAACTCTCATAAGCCCACCCCAAGAAACATTTCCTTCAGCAGGACTGATCTCTTTAAGCCTTTGCATATAGAACCACCAACTGGGCCCAAGTATTCAAGTACTTGCGGCCTATTAGGGATAGTTTCTTTCAAACTACCACATATAGTTATGAATTCTTATCCACTTAGCATCTTAAAATGCATGAAGATCATTCTTTCACTTTGTCCTGACACAGGAAGTAAATTAAGCCTTTACTCATTGACCCTGGGTACTAGTATGGCAAAATTGAACCTGATTGGAAAATCATAAAATTTATCTAAGTCACAGAGGTCTTCAAAAGGAGTGCTAATCTGTAAGCACTGGTTTGGATCAATGCTACTATTTTAGGTAGCTTCATCACATAAAATACAAATATTTAATATAAATATTTATAGCTATCATGTCTTAATGTATCTGTGTATCCTCATATATATATATATATATATGTATATGTATATATATATACACACACACATATATATATGTATATCAACATACACTCGTTATGTCACCCACCTAGCTAAACTCTATGCAAGAAATCGTTTTCAGATCCACATATATGTTTTGTTTGTTTGTTTGCAACCAGAAGCTGACAATAAAAACATTCCTGATTTGGGACAGACTAATCAATACTGTCCTGTCCACTTGGGACAGGACAGGTGATACAGAATGCTATTATGGGTGAAGAAATGTCTTTACATAAAATATTTGTAACATGCACAGTAATAATAATTCTCATGCTGATAATATTCCTGAAAAACACTGGATTCTTAAAGAGAAAAAGAGAAAGAGAAAAAAATAAAATATTTCTATAATACCCAGAGAAAGACGGAAATGACCTAATTTCATCAGAAAAACATCTTAAAAAATAGTGATAGGTAGAATAACATGATGCAGAAACACAATGTATATATAACTCAGAAATTTTCGTTAACTATTTAAAATATATTTCTAAAGACTACAACACAAAACGTTATGAATATTTTATGAAGCTTAATCCTCATATATTAATATTTGTTATTTAGAAAATTCAATTCTTAGGGTCACTAGTGATTCATGGTGTGAATGGAAAGTGCATGACCTTTTCTTTAAAGATCTTTCTACAGGCAATATAGTAGTCTTAAACCAGTGACCTTTCCTTAACTCTAATTTGCCTCAAAACTTCTTTAAGACTTGACTTTATTAATGACATGAATATCAGGAAAAGAAAAGAAAACCTCCTGTTAAAGAGATTTGGCAGTATTAATCAATTCCTTTACAAGAAAAGAAATAATTCTTTGTTTCTGAATTAATCTGTAGTTCTCCATATTTCCATGATTCTAATTTCATTTCTTTAATTTTTAATTTTTTAAAAATATGTGTATATAGGAGGTAGAGAGATGGCTCAGCACTTAATAGCACTGGCTGCTCTTGAGAAGACCCTGGTTTGAATCCCAGTACCCACATGACAGCTAGCAACTATCTGTAACTCCAATTCCAGGGGATCCCATGCCATCATCTGTCATTCATGGGCACTGCAAAACATGGGTGCACTTACATGCATGCAAGCATAACACTCATACATATAAAATAAAACTAAATTTTAGTGAATCACATACAATATATTTTAATTGTTTTAACATCTCCTTCCATATTTGCACTTGCCTTACTATCCCCCATCTAATTACTAATGTTATATATATACTATATATAGTCTATCTATCTATCTATCTATCTATCTATCTATCTATCTCCTATCTCTATCTATCATCTATCTCCACCACAATATTTGACCAGCCTTTCTCAGCTCATCAGTGACAGTAAGTGATCTAAAGTCTAAACTACATTTTCCCTGGAACACGTCCATTCGTGGTACTGACAATGATGTATCTCCTGTCTTCTGATATTCTCCATATATATATATTACAAGTTTGTGTCCCCAAATGTCCTTCAATGTGGATCCATCCACAGGAGCTTGGTCAGCTAACCTATGAAGAGTCACAGCTTTAAAAGAGACTGACTAATCCCTTCCCAGCAGCCATGTGTTGCCAATAGTTCCTCAAGTCGGGTTGGTGTTTCTTGCCTACTTGCCCACATCTATTCTGGGTTTTTGTCACACGGAGCTTGCATGGTACTTGCACATGCTGTTACCACTGCCAAGTTCACGTGAGTAACTTCCAAGCTGTTTGGAAAACTGTTTCTTTGTATTAGACAACCTCTGGCTCTTACAGTCTTTCTGTCCCTTCTTCTCCAGCGATCCCTGAGCCTTGAGTGGTAGAAGTTTGACATAGGTGTCCAGTGCAGGGCTAATCACTCTGTAGTCTCCTATTTTCTGTACATTGGCCAGTTGTGAGTTTAGATAATCACCATCTGATGCTAAAGGATATATCTCTTAGTCATAGAAGTGGTACAGAATCATTTGTAGAAATATTATACAAAATAAACATGTTTTCATTGTAAATTTTTTTATTCTTCAGATTCACTATATTTTAATAAAGTAAACAGCCCTTTGCTTTCCTTTTAATGCCTGTTTTTCACCTTTGCATTCTTCTCATCAAAGTTTATTTTTCTTTTTGACTTTTTGATGTTCTCTTATGCAAGGTTGCAATCCATCACTTTGCTTAGTAGTTTCTGAACATTTTCTAGATTTCGTCATCTTCGATTATCTCTGATTTCCTAAGAAAAATTTGATGAACAAAGCAATACTGCAATAATATAAGGACTTTTCTTTCAGAGAGGAAAATGGAGATAATCTCAGATTTTGATCACATACCAAGAGTAGAAGCTGTTAAATGGACAAACAATAACTTAAACCGTGTCCAGTGTGGTCCCAGAACGTTTGCTTAGAAGCATGCTATCATTCTCACGTCCAGCTCAGGGAAAGGTCTTAACGCAAAGCCACCATTAGATAGCCTGCCCTGTACTGTATGGTGAGGGGGCATCAGAGCAAAACATTTCCAAACATCAGAAGAAATGAAGCTAGGAAATTAAATTTACAAATTTCCCTCTTTTTAACCCATATACATCAAATATCCATGGAGTAGAGTAAGTGATGAACATTAGCAATGTTATTGGTACTGTAGATATCCATTATTATTGTTCATGTTATTGTTACTACTACTACTACTGTAACTCAGAGTAACAGTAGATATATGTTTTCTTTATATGGTAATACGTTACATGAATTTTTACAAGATGCAAGCGCAGAAGATGAATATTAACGTTCTCATCTTATATGTAGAGGCCAGACATTAGGAGTGTGTGTGTGTGTGTGTGTGTGTGTGTGTGTGTTTAAAACAGCATCTCCCTGTAGCCCTAGCTGGCCTGGAACTCGATATGTAGACCAGGCTGGCAACAGTCTCACAGAGATATGCCTTCCTCTGCCTCCCTAGTGCTGGGATTAAAGGTATGCACAAAATGCCCTGCTATACTTTTGGTCTTGAAACAGAACTAGAAAAATTCCAAAGTAACAGTTCAAAAGCTCACTGATGTTTTCTTATGTGATGCTGAAAGGAGGAAGAAAGGGAAACAAAATCCAAAGTTGTAGACAGCACTCAATGAATTTTGATTTGAGTTTCATAAAACAAATGCCCCAAATTCTCCCATTCGTTCTTCTAGCTAAAGAGATATTTATAAGGAGACTTTTGCTTATTTATAAACTTACAGGACAATGATTTTATATGTAAAATATTGTCATTTCATTCATTGGGGAATCAAGAACAATGCTAAAGACCATCTTTAATGTTGCTTAAATAATGTAAACATAAACTTTAGTTTATGTTTTAGATGCATGCTTTACAGAATGCCTGATACATAGGACCAAGGACAAATATTCACAAAGACAAATAGTGTTTCAACTCCTGCTCTAAAGAGAATCAAATCTTCCTCCTGCCCCTTAAATATTTATTATCTTATGCTACCAAGACTTGGATTATAAGTGGTCTTATATAAACTTGCCATCCTGAGTGTTTGATCTGGAAAGATGATGAGTTTTACACACTCATGATTCATGAAGGACTGTGACTGAAAAGATTGATAGAAGAACACTTCAATGAACTGAAACTGTGATTTAACTGTGAAAATGAGTCTAAATCATGTATTTTCATTTTTGCTACAAATCACATATACATTACTGAACAAAAAGTTTCTTTTTTATTTTTAAATTTTATTGTCATATTATGTATATGAGAGTTTTGCCCACCTGTATGTAAATGTGTGAGGTGTGTATACTACCTACCATCAGAGGTCAGAAGGGGGTGTCAGATTCTCTGACACCACAGTTAAAGATGGTTTCTAGCTACAATATGGATCACTGGGAATCCAACCCAGGTCATTTGTAAGAGCAATCAATGATTTTAACCACTGAGCCATCTCTCCAGTCCAAAGATAGATATTCTTTATTTATGATAGATATTTCCCCAAAGTTTTTGTTTTCACTTCCACAGAAGAGGATTTCAGTGCATTGTTAACTAGGGGTGAATAAAGGAAGCTAAAATTGATGAAGATCTTCATTATTGAAAGCTATGGCTTTAAATTTTTTAATAGTTCCAACTTAAGTTCTAATACAGTACTGTTTTAGGATAAAAACGCAAATGAGTTCTTGATGTTTTTGGTTGAATTTATATGTGATAATTTCCTAGCATGTTGCTAAGAGTTGTGTGTAAGGCACTGACTGAGAATCCATAAATTATATTCACATTTAAAGGAATGATTGGGCCTATCACCTGAACTTACTTAAATTAGTAACCTAATTTCTATTTCTTTGAAAGGCAGCAGTACATGCAGTGTATAGCTGAAATGCAATTAAGTGCTCAGCCATGGGAGGGAATCACAGTGAGCAGGTTCATGAATGTTGCTCTTAGGTTTAACACAGTGAAGGAAGCTGATCATTTGCACGTGCATGCTTTTATGAAGGAAGACTTTCTCCTTTGACAAGGTTATGGTTCATATGACTTCCTTATGAAAAGCACTAACATTAAAACAGAGGAGTGATTCTTACTGTAAAAATCAAAATAAGTGGTAAAATAGAAAGTTGGAATAGACTCTGAGTTTGTTTTTTGCTTTTCTCTCCCGTGGAGACTGGCTGGGTTTTACTGAGTCATTATCCCACAAGGCATTTGTGGAAAAGGGTGCTTTACTTAGATTTCATGAAAATCTTTTAATATCTTTGTCAGAAAAGTGTTTTATATTATGAATAATAAATGCATAACTCAAGAACACCTTTTTGCTTTTTCCTGGAGCATACAAAAATTAAAAGAAGTGCACATTTTATAAAGGATATTCCAATGTTGTGTGTAGAAAGGACATTAATTTAAAAAAATCTTTAGATACTTTTACACTCGAAAGCAAAACAGTTTTCATATAGTCACTTACATTATATGTGAAATACTTGTATACTTTTGCATATTAAATGGACTTTATTTGAAGTTATAAAACATTTAGGTGTCTGTATGCGTCAAACATCAGTGTACCAGCAATCGTTTATTACAGAAAGGTCACACAAAAATCGGCTTTTTATAAAATATAAACAGAAAGATACAGATGTGTTACCTGATTCTCATAAAAGCTCTGTGAAGTATTTTCTGTAACATGTTTAAGTAAGATTAAACTAGCTGATCATAAGTTTTTCCTATGGAAACTCTCTCAAGTAGCTATACAACTATGCCAAGATCTTGCAAACTGATTATTTCAGTTCTAGTCTGTCATTATTCCTAAAGTATCTAATTATCAATACCCATTTCCTTTAAAGTCTCAAATATCTATCAGTGTGGAAGAGTGGGAAGACACCAAAGATGCCAAGGAGCCAGGGCACCACCGCAGCATTCACCGCAACTCAACCTCCAGTGACCAGTCAGACCACCCCTTACTGCGGAGGAAGAGCATGCAGTGGGCCAGAAGACTGAGCAGAAAAGGTCCAAAGCACTCTGGTAAAACTGCAGAAAAGATAACTCAGCAGCGACTGAACCTCTACAGGAGGTCAGAAAGACAAGAGCTTGCTGAACTTGTGAAAAATAGAATGAAACACCTGGGCCTTTCTACAGTGGGATATGGTACGTGCTTAAAAACTCCTATATATGTGGAATTGTGTCTTCCTGCTGTTAGTAATTATGAAGTTGGCTTTGATTTGGTAAAGCACTGGAGTTTTGTTTCACAGTGCATGTGTGGGCCATAGCTCATATCTTGTAGAAAACTTAAATGATAAAAATTAAATGCTTAAAGTTTTAGGCATCTATTTGGTTCACTAGACAATATCGAGCTCATTGTAGGAATACACCAATTTTAATTATCACAAAACTTTTGATGTAGACTCAGTTTCCAATTTGGAGGTCTAGAAATTAAATCATGTAAATTATGGCTTAACATTCACATAGCAGAGTGTATCTGTCTTAAAGTCCCCCTTACACACACACACACACACACACACACACACACACATATACACACACAAACACACACACGCACATGAGATATAAACATCACACCCATCGAGTTTTGGGGCCCCCCAAAATAAATTTGAGGCATTTCAATTAACTGATTTTTCTAGCCAGAAAGGAACTATAATATATAATTAATATAATAAATATAATACAATATAATGTAGAAATTGTATTTACTTTTATATGATGCCCAAATGGATCCTTAGAAGCTTTAATTTTGAAATAGAAATACATTTCAAATAGCACAGTACAGTCTTTCTAAATATTTCCTATTTGCTGTGTTAACCTATTATTCTACATAAAAACAGGTTAATGAAGTAATGCAAAGATAACCTCAAATATGTCATCATCATTGTCCAAGTTTTATTTTAAAAGAAACTTGGCCACTTGACC